CGCTCCTGGGGCTGCCTGCCGGCCCGCCCGGCAGCCTGAAGGGGGCGCCGCCGGCTCCGGCTCTAGTGCGGACCTGCGGGGGTCTGTCACAGGGTGGCCGTACAAAAGTCCCACTTCAGAGACCCTTCAGGAGTGGGTGGTAGGAAGCAACCATCCCTTGTGGGAATGTAATCCCCTAATGAAATGATAGTGGATACAGCAACTTCTCAGGATGGTTGCTCAGGGGCTAGGCATACAGGCAGAGGAAGTACCTGAGGATATAGACCCAATGGTTGACATCCTCACTCCTTTGGGTCCTACTCATGTTGCCCTTCCACTGATAAAGGCCATCTTGGAAATACAAAGTCACTGTAGAAAAACCTGGCCTCGGTGCCCCACACTAAGTACAATGAATGATGCTATTTTGTGTCATCTTGGGCCAATGAGCACCTTTATTCCCACCCTCCCCCTGATTTGCCAGTGGTTAATACAGCAAACCAGCAAGAATATCAGGGCTTCCAAGGTCCATCTTCCAAACAAAACAACAACAAAAACAAAAATAGGGACGCAAAGTGTCTCTACCTTTATGGGCTTAAAGTTTACTCCTTTGGTGGCTTGCAATTTCACAATTTGAACAAGCAGGACATCATAAGTGAATATTTCTACAATGCATCATCATTGATGGCAAAATTTACAGAATTGCTACTTCAAGATTCCTGAGCTGAATTTTCAGCTCTGGTGGAAGAAGGCAAGCTGATCTCCAGGGTGTCTCTACAAGTGACCCTGAATGCAACTAATGTGGCTACTTGTGTCATGGTCACAGTTATTGCCTTCAGAAGGGGCTCATGGTTACAGATTTTGGCCCTCCTGCGTGAGGTCCAACAAATAATTCAGGACCTCCCCTTTGAAAAACCATTGCTCTTATAAAACAAAAACAAAAAAATGCATAAGCAATTATACAGCCTTAAGGACCCGAGACTGACCCTAAAGTCCTTGGGTATCCACGCTGCTGTGACACAGAGGAAATATTTTACTCCTTGCCCTCTCCCACACCATGCCAGTTGCAAAACTGACAGGATGGCCATCACAGACAAAGTGGAAGTGGTAGGAGAAACAGCCAGCAAAAGCCTTTATTTGGACCATAAACAAGCCTTTTGGAGGTGCAATGGAGGACAGTGCAATAGTCCTGAAGCTGGATCCACTCCACCTTCTTGTCCTGACAGCCTCCTTTCTAATGTGAATGGTTCCATATTACATTGGACTGGTGGGGGCTTCGCACAGTTGTCCGCCTGCCATTCCACCCCACTTCCCTGTCCCTCTTCAGGAACCCTTCTCATGCACCTCTCTTTATCCAGGAGGTGCAGTTGCTCCTTGTTCAGGCCCACAGGGTGAGGGTTTTTACTTACAGTATTTCCTAATAGTGAAAGCCAGGAGTGGGCTCAGACCTGTTTTGCAGTTGCGTAAGCTTAACAAGTTCATATTGTAGATGTTACATATGGTCACCCTGGCCTCTCTTATTCCCTTACTGGCTCAGGCAGACTGGTTTGCTGCCCTTGATTTGAAAGACACTTATTTACATGTTGCCATTTATCCACCATACAGAAGGTATCTCAGGTTCATGGTAACAACAGTGCCCATTACTGATTTCCAGACTTGCTGTTCAGCCTATCGACAGCACAAAAAGTATTCACCAAACCTGTGGTGGTAGTCCGTACCTTGATGACTGGCTGATCGAGGGTTGCTCCAACCTAAGTTGATGCCCGCCTCATATTTATCATAGCCACTTTCAACAGTCTTGGTCTCTTCATAAACGATTCCAAATTCACTCTGTCCCATGTCCAGAGGATAGTTTGGGTGAATGATGCTAGACTCCAAACAGACCAGAGCATTCCTTCCAGAAACCAGCCTCCAGGCCCTGACTGAGATTATTCTTGGCTCAGGCAGTTCTCCATCACAACGGCAAGGAACTGCATGAAATAGCTGGGCCATACGACAGCGTGGACATTCGTGTTGCAATATGCCAAATCCTGACTCAGACCTCTTCAGTCTTAACTGGCATCTGTGTACGGATCAGGCAGGGAGTTTGGACAGGGTGGTAACCCTACTTCACTTGGTGCTCGATTCCATCCTATGGTGGCTGTATCTCCATGTGTTTGCTCAGGAGTCCCCTTTGCTGCCTGACAACCATCATTTTCTTCAGTGACAGATGCATCAAACTTTGGTTGGGGAGGTCATTTAGGGAATCTAAGAACTCAAGGATTCTGGGAACAGTTCCACTTGGTTCTCCACATCAGAGCTGAGGACCATCTGTCTGGCCTTTCTCATCTTCTGGTCCTACCTCGCAGGGCACTGTGCTTTGGTCATGATGGACAATACAACAGCAATGTTCTATATCAACCAACGGGGCTGTGTGCTCCTCTTCTCTGTGCCAGGAAGCCCTGTTGCTCTGGCACTTCTGAGTACAGCATTCCATACACCTGAAGGCATTGTATCTCCTGGGGTTACAGAACAGTCTCAGCAGGTCCTTCCACAGTCACGAGTGGATGCGCTTCATCCAGATGTTGTGAATTCAATTTTCCAAGGGTTAGGTCGTTCCCAGATAGACCTGTTCACCATAACAGAAAGTGCTACAATTCTGTTCTTTCCAGAACCACAGTCTGGGCTACATTGCAGATGCATTCAGCCTATATTGACAGGGGGATTGTCTCCTGTATGCTTTTTCTCCCATTCCACTCATGCACAAGGTGCTCCTTGAGATCCAGAGGGGCCAAGCCCAGGTCATTAACATAGCTCCAGCCTTGGCCTTCCAACATTGGTACACCTGCCTGCTGGACATGTTGGTGGAGACCCAGATTCTGCTCCCAGTCTTCCTGGATCTTCTGCACCATCCAAACATCAAGTCACTGCACCTCACAGTGTGGAAGCTCCATGGATGAACCCTTTGAAGTTTACATGCTCTCCTCCTGAGCAGCAGGAAACTCCCCATGAGAGCCACGTACCTTACCAAGTCAAAAAGATTTTTAATTTGGTCAGCACAGCATGGCTCGGTTCCCATACAAGCCCCAATACCTGTCATTCTGAACCACCTATTTCACCTTAAACAGCAAGGTCTCTTCCATGAGGTCCACTTAATTGCTCTATCAGCCTTCTATCCCGGCACAAATGGATGCTCAATTTTCATAACTGTTATTTTTTGAGGAGTGTTGTTCATGTGCGTTCTAAGTCCTTCCCTTCTGTCAGAGTAGCTACAAGAAGGAACTGAGGAGGGAGCAGGTCAGCAGTGCTCTATATTGGGTGCCATGAAGGTACCATTCCAGGAGGCACCCAGACTGACCCTATGGCTAGCTGCTAGGGGGAAAATCTTACGGCTATTGTGAATGTGTATGCACATACACCTGATTGGAATGGAAATGAACAACACATCTAAAAGAACATTTATGAGAAGATGAGTAACTGTTTTATATTGCAGAGAGAAAAAGTTTCTATATACTATTATTTATCATAGAGGTTAGAAAAGATCTGAAATTTGCAGATAATAAAGATAAGGTTTTCTGTCAAACTTCAGATGTTAGAAAAGGGGTTCTAACAAATTGATGATCAGACTTTCAGTAAGTCACCAGGATTAGTGATGAATTTATTGGGGAAGGTAGGAGGAGATTTATATCATCTTTATAAGGCTGAACTTAATTTCAACCAATCTCTTTTTTAATAGGTAAAATAATTAGGGTCTTAAAGAAAATTCTTATAAAATTAATACACAAGAGTCCTTTCTTTTAAAGTTTTGAGCAGCTATCCCAGTACCTCTAGTAGTTTCTGATACTGCCTGTAGTATACAAAGTGACTTGTGTAAGGGTAAGGTGAAGGAGGACAAACATGGTGTTTGGTATCATTGCTTCATTGGATGCAATGGTAGAAGCAATTAAACTTACAATTGCCTATCTCATGTGGGATTAGATAGGGGTCAGAGTATTGTCCTAAGAAAAAGCCCCATTGTACACTTGCTCATCAAGATGAGGATACTTTTTCTTTCTTTTTTTGGGGGGGGGGGGTATATGTAATACTTGTATTTTCTCTGAAGGATTTGTACGGTGTGTTGGTAGAACTGGAAAGTTGGATTGAAACATGTAACTTTTTGGGTAATAAAGGTCATGTGATTTTTTTTTTATAGTAGGTGCCTTTAAAATGGGTGTATTTCTATGCAATTTTCCCCTTGTATTTGTATAGCATAATGCTTTCAAAAGCAACTGTGTAAAGAGCGATTAAGTAAAAAACTAAACTTTAAAACTAAACCAGATTTCATACTTCTGTATCTGTGGATTTTCATTCTGGATACTTTTTCTTCTCTTGTGATTTTTTTTCCCCTTTTAATGTCAATTTTTTTTTTTAAACCACATTAATCCCACACCCAAGTTTTTTTGAAGCAATATACAGTTGCAATTCAGTTTCATTATGGGAACACTGTGAACATTTGACAATACTGCCTTTCAAATATTGGTATCACAGCAAATGTTTGTGTTTGAAAGTTGAATTCTAGGCTTGGAATTGTTAAACATTCTAAATTTAGAAAATAACTTAGGAATGCAAAGGTAGCTAATTGGTCCTGTAGTAATATGAAAAAGTACTAATCCTCCTTTAAACAGGATGGAAAAAAGATGGGAAGAAGCATCCTTCCTGCATTTTTTATTCTCCTCATTTGTCCTTTTTTTAAAAGTGTATGTTTGAAACTTTACAAACTGATAGCTTTCTGGCTTCAGTAAAATCTGCTATGCTGAAGTTTTCTATAAATGAAGGTTTTTTTGTTTAATTACTAACTACTAACATTGTATTAGTGTCTAGGGAAAATAGTTAAAATATTTTCATTGAAAATCCAAAATCTCGTGGTATTTAAGGATCCCAAATTTCATTATCAAATTCTCTGATTTGATATAAGATTTTCTGCAAAAATGCATTAGTTTGACTGGTAAATCACATAAAAGGAGCAACAAATGATTAAAGTATTTTTTCTACAGTATCCTGCAGAACCACCAGATTGCTTTGTAGACTTCCCTGTTGAATTTGCTGTGTCTTGGATTCCACAGGTAAAATCTGTACGATATCTTTTCGTAATAATTTAAGAATATGTTTATTTACCAGCTTAAAGATCATGTTTATGATATGCATGTGTGTGGTAATGGCATATTTTAAAAGAAAACCAGGTCTGACTCTTGAATCCTCTTCCCGTTTGTTTTCTTTGGTACTTTTTCCTTAACACAAGCTTGGGAAATTACTATATTTAGTGCATTCATATTATACAACATTTACAGTTTTAAGTTAATTTGCTTTCATTGGATTACAACTTTTTAAATGTTTCTTCAACCTTGTAGACATACTGTTTGTACTAAGTCTCTACCTGATCTCTTACACCTTGGACTGCTGAGACTCCAAATATTTATGAATGATACTGACACTCTCTCTCTCGCTCTCCCTTTTTCTCTCTGTCTCTCTCTGATACCAGGGAAAGAAACTCCCTCTAACCTTGATGAATATTTTTAAAACACTGGATAAAACAAACAGCAATTCTTTATAATATATGTAACTTAATAAGAGCACCTAAGTGTTATACAGGATAGTAAGAGTAACAGTTTGTTTTCATTAAGAACCAAATGCCATTGCTTTCATTTTTTGTGGAATGCCTGATGTTTCTAAAGGGTTATTTCTTGCTTTGCTACTTTCAGTAGCAGTATGCAGTATGCTGGTACATTTCACATCAGTTACAGAGCCCTCCTAGAGAATGTTATCTACTTATATAAATCAGAATGCTTTTTTCCCCCAAAAAATATGTTTGTGGGTTGGAAACAGGATATAATCCTTCTCAGAAAAATATAAAATGACACATTCTTTTTCAGAATATATGGAATTAACCCTTGTAGGCTTAATTCATGCTCCAGCGAGTTGGTGATTTAGCATAGGAATTGTTGGGATATTGCCTGGAGCTGTATCCAGCAGTTTCTGGTGTGATTGAATATTGTGGTACCTAAGAAGAATAAAAAGAAAGACATACTGAATGTGACTTTTGCCCTACTTTAGATATTTTGGGTATTCAATATGCAGTTCTAATCCTGATATATTTTTAATTTTAACATGTGTAGGTCACCTTTCATAGAAATGGTGACAAGACTCTTAACTGAAGCAGTGGAAATGTCATTTGTTATAATACAAATATAAACTCCTGTTAAAGGGAATATAAATACATTTCAGGTAAATGTGGGGGAGGGGACATTTTTCTGTCATCTTTTGCTTATTTTAAGTTCTGTTAGTGCTCATGGACTTAAACTTGGAAGATCTTTATTTCCCTTTTTTTGAATAATAATAGCCATGGTTTTATGGAATCCATATTAAAAATGGGTAATTTTCCTTATGGTCCCTGTCTTCCTGCTGGGTTGATAATGTTTTGATGTATTTTTCTTTCTCTCTGATGAGAGGTCTGCTGCTGCTGCTTTGACATATTCATTTGGATGAATAATTATAACTTGCATAATGTCAAGCTGAAGATGGTAGGGTTTTGTGCGTCATGACAAGCCTAGTAGCCAGTGCAGGTGTCTCACAGCATGATCAGCAACAGCCAGTGTATTCTGGCTCAGAGGAGACATTTTAGAGTAGTCAGAAATCAGCACCAAGGGCAAGCTGCTGCTGCTACTACTGTTATATGTGCCAAATAAATGCAAAGTGCTTCTCAATGACAAGTGCAAGAGCATCTACTTATTTCAGTTTATATACTTTTTTCTAATTAACCAGATAAATTTGGTCTACACATTTTAGCATACACTTTAAGAATGTTTCTACAGTTATTAGGAATTTGTATTGTTGTGCCTTCATATTAGATTACTATTCCTATATTGACCACTATCCATAGGATTAATTCATGAAGGTTGTAAAATGGAAATTGACTAATGAGGTCATGCCGCTAACAGTGAAACATGTAGGAATGTATATTGTGTGAATGGCATTCTATAGAATTTTGAAAGAAATAGTTCACCATATTAAAAGAATATTGATCATCATTTGGTATTTCTAGTATAGGAGATTTATAGAACTTAACTTTCTATATATCTATCAGATAAATGAATCCCTAACACTATACAAAAACATGAATGGTTGACAATATTTTTCTAAAGATATAAGCATGTTATCTCAATTTTAGATTTAATTTTGGTAGGTGTGTATGGGCAGAGGGGAGATATTCATCTTCAGTAAATAAGAGGGAGTAACAAATTGCAGATGAAATAGATCATTTAATCCCTTCCATTACCAATAAAGAATTGTTCATTACTTTTTTTTTTTTCAAGTTTAGTCCTGTCTACTATGTTGGGGAGACTCTACCACATCTATGATACATTTTGAAGAGTTTGTTTGTAGATTTGTTTGTGCAAAATAAAATCATACTTCAGGATTACCTACAGATACCAAATTTTTCATAAACAACCCTACTACTTAAATTAGCTGAATGCACTACTTTTTATACTGGAATATGCTAGGTGAAAAGTTTTAAATGATTATTTTTGTTTTTCATCAGAAAAGTCATGAGAGTTCATAAAAATATTTGCTAACAAAATTAAAATCAAGTCACCTGTTCAACTGTCATTTTAGTGCAAAGAAAATTTTTACAAATTAATTTTACAAAGTAATTCAGATTAGTTACTGAAAGAGTAATAGAAGCTGTATGAGTTTTTTATTCAAATTTACTATGTATGGTAATTCAATAAAAATTAATAATGTTTGAAGTTGAAATCCTACAAATTTAAAACTGTTCTTTTACCTCCCTTTTGCAAGCACATGTAATAGATTTTTTAAAATAAATATATTTAATTTCTTGAACTTTCCTATGTGTAATCTACGCAAAATGACTTTGCCTGGTTAACAGCGGGCCTCACCTGCTAGCATATTATGTTTTCTCTGATATTCAACTGAAACATGTTCTTGATATTTATCTTTTAGTGGAGTTTTGAGTATTCTGTCTTCTAGTTCCACAATTAATATTTTGCATCAGGGCACTGCAACTGTTGAAGCCATCCAGAAAACAGTACATGTTTGGTAAAAACATACATCAGTAGTTGTGTCCCCAAAAACTTTCATTTCATTCTATTTAAAATATCATGGAAAACCTATAAAAGCAAAGATCTCTTCAGAGTTAATGTAGCATCATTTTCTTAACTGATGATTGTTTCAGCAGAATTTCACTCTTGGGAGACTCAGCTCTCTGGAGGGTTGAGTATTTGAATACTGAAAGAATTATACTCAAAATAAGAATCTCACTGGGCTCTTATGTTGAAAGAGAGTAACAAGTATGTACATGTTTCAGCAGAGCTTTATATATCAGCTCAACATATTTCAGAGATAGAGCTATTACTTAAGCATGCTTTAGCACTTGAGAAATGGCTTGTGGGATCTAGTACTGGAGTACTCATTTGGCCATACTCATTTGTAATCTGTTCCGATAGTATACATTGGATTTGTCCCTCCTGATGATAGAGTAGGTTCTGTGACCAACTTGGACTCAGCCCCTCTCCCCTAGCCCAGACATCAGTCTCCAAGCACTCTTTGCTTCCTGTTTGACCTCTGCTGCTTGGTCTCCAGAGAGCCTCATCAGAGAAGAGTATAGGAGATAACAACAATGTGTAGTTGTATTAGAAGGTCTTCATAAAAAAGAACTGGGTCACCTTAGAGACTGTGATCCTGAGACCTTGGGTCCCAAGGGAGTTCCATGGAGGCTCCAAACTGCTCCTGTATCAGGAGTTCTTTGAAGTTCTTCAAAACACCATGGCTACGTCTACACTGGCCCCTTCTCCGGAAGAGGCATGCTAATTTTGAACTTTGGAATAGGGAAATCCGCGGGGGATTTAAATATCCCCCGCGGGATTTAAATAAACATGGCCGCCGCATTTTTTCCGGCTTGGGGAAAAAGCAGGTATAAAGCAGATATCTGCAGATTTGTAGGACTCTACCCATGGGCTACGTCTACACTGGCCCCTTCTCTGGAAGAGGCATGCTAATTTTGAACTTTGGAATAGGGAAATCCGCGGGGGATTTAAATAAATATGGCCACCGCTTTTTTTCCGGCTTGGGGAAAAGCCGGAAAAGAGCGTCTAGACTGGCGCGATCCTCCGGAATAAAGCCCTTTTCCGGAGGATCTCTTATTCCTAT